GAGGGGGAAACCTTGCTATTAAACTGGATATGTCTAAGGCTTTTGATAGAGTATCTTGGGATTTCTTAGAGATGATTTTGAGGAAATTTGGGTTCTCAGAGAGGTTCATCACCTTAATCCTCAATAACCTCAAATCAACTACACATTCCATCCTGATTAATGGATATCCTAGCAAGAACTTCCAACCCAAAAGAGGTCTCAAACAAGGAGACCCTCTTTCTCCTCTTCTTTTCATCCTTTCAGCAGAAAGTTTCAGCAGAACCATAAAACAGGAAACAGATAAGGGGAATCTAAGCCTTTACAAGTTAGGCAGACACTACATGCCTATTACACACTTAGCATTTGCTGATGACCTACTGATTTTCACTAATGGTGCTGCCAATAACCTAGCCAAGATCACCAACTTTTTGAGAGAATATGAAAGAGCTGCTGGACAGAAGATCAACTTACACAAAAGCTCATTCTTTACCCCAGACAAAACACCAACAATTCATGCAACAAAAATGGGGAAAATTCTCAACATGCAAAGAGGCAAATTCCCTTTCAAATACCTGGGCACTCAAATCCACAGAGGAATCAATAGGAAGAACTACTGCAATGACCTCCTAAATCATTTTGATAAAAAGCTGCAAGGTTGGACCAAGCACTTGTTATCCCAGAGTGGAAGGCTTGTTCTTATCAAACATGTCCTTAGTGCCATCCCCATACACACACTTGGCTCTACTAAAATACCCAGAAGTATCATCACTTGCCTACATCAGAAAATGAGCAATTTTCTCTGGGGATCCAAAAATGAACACCAAAACTACCACTGGAGCTCTTGGAAGGACATTTGCAGACCCAAAGATGAAGGGGGACTCAATATTCCTAACCTTGATAACCTACAGATGTCTTATGGGATCAAAATGTGGTGGAGCTACATGAATAATAACTCTCTCTAGGCAAATTTCATGCATCATAGATACCATAACAGTTTCAACAACCCTCCCAAACTCATTGACTCACCAACATGGAAGAGATTACACCACATTCTTGACAAAGTCAACAACATCATCAATATTGACTTTGACAACCAACCATCCTGGGATGATGGTCAAACCGGCTTCAGCCTAAAGAGAGCTTACAATGCCTTGAGAGAGAATCATCCTACTCAAAACTTTCTAAAATACTCTTGGAATACTAAACAGTATCCTAAGATTTCTCTCTTTCTTTGGAAGACATACAAAAATATTCTACCCTTCACTAACAATCTCACAAGATTTGCAGTTACTCTGCCCTCTATTTGTTTTCTGTGTAGGAACAACTATGATGATCAAAATCACACACTCAAGCAATGCAGCTACAGCAAACAAGTTTGGGCACATTTTGAAGAACATTTCAAAATCCCTAGAAGTAATACACATGGGATTTGTGCGTACCTGATGACCTGGTGGCAAGATCACACTACAAGCAACAATCCACAGAAGAAAATTGCTCCTGGAATCATAGCTTTTGAAATCTCGAAGGAAAGAAATCGCAGAAAGCATCAAGAAGAATCAAAAACAACAACTCAGATCATTCAGATTATTTGGAACAAACTAATCGAGTGGACTATTGGAAAAGGAAAAGGGAAATTTTCTCTAACCTTTGAATATCCAATTGCACATACACTAGCCGTTCAAATCTTCAAATGGCAAGCTACTAACACCACAGTGAACACGGATGTGGCAGTAGGCAATGGAATAATGGTGGGCAGTGCAATCCTACGAACAACCAACGGAGACTTCATTGGAGGTATGGCAAGGATGCTTCAACAGAAGACCAATGCAGAAGAAGGAGAACTGGAAGCTGGACTTTTGGGCCTACAATGGGCCACAAAAATTCTTCATGGACAAATAAATCTCTGCATGGACTCCAAAAATGCAATAAATAGAATTAATGCGAAAAATAGAGAAGATACAGTCAGCTTCAACATAAAGACAATTCTACAAGCAAGACATGGGAATGCCAGCCACATATACAGAGAAGAAAACACAGCGGCACATAATCTCGCAAAATATGCACTCAAAAACAATCTGTTTTCTGACTATTTATCATTCACTTCTCTTCCCAAAAATGTTAGGGGAGCAATTACATGTGACAAACCTTGTATCTCGATTCGTCTTAATTAATATATAAAAATTTCTTCAAAAAAAAAATATTTGAAAATTTTATCATTATTTAATACGAAAGAAAACCGAAGATACATCAATGATTAGAGCCCCCCTGACATTTTTGGGTAGATGCTCTAATTGAGAATAATAAGTGCTGAAATCGTTATTAAGTGTAAACTTTGCTAGGTTGTGTGCCGCAATGTTTGCTTCTCGATAAATGTGACTTATTTTCCCCCCTGATTTCTGTATTGTTTCCATGATTTGTTTGTGGGAGGAGTTGGATGATTCTTTAATTTTTCTCACCCCATTCTTTGAGCCCATGTAGAGATTAATAGGTTGACTAAGAAATTTGCTGCGTTTGACTCCTAGCGCTGCTGCCTTTACCTCACCTTCTTCTGGGTCTGTTTCACCCTGCGAAATTTTTGTCCATGCTCCAATGAAATTTCCGTTTCTCTGCCGGATGATCGCTGCTGCTGCCATACGATCATTGGAAATTGCAACATCAGTGGTGACGCAGAGTCCTTTCTTTGGGAAAATCCATCTGAAGGTCTGTATTGCTCCCATCGTTGTGACTGGTAGATGGCTAGTGATACTGGTTCCTTTCCCTTTAATTGCGCTATACTCGTAAATTTGTTTGATGATTTGGTGTTGTATCTGGGGTGTTGTATGTTCTTCCTCATTGTAGATGCGAAAGTTCCTCTCTTTCCAAATAGCGTGCGTTATAAATCCTGGTAGTGCAACTTTTAGGTTGTAGTCCTTTGTGTTTTTTTTCAGTTGATTCCACCAGTTTAAGAGGAAACTTCTTATACCATGGTTAACACTTCTGTGAATTCCAAAGAGTTCCTCAAAATAATTCCAGATTTCTCTGCTGAAAGGGCATTCGTGTAAGGAGTGCCATGTTGATTCTTCACTATACCTGCACAAGAAACAGATTGATGGGAGGTTATATCCCATCTTTGTTAGTTTTTGGGGGTACGGTAGGAGACTATGGTAGAGTTTCCAGAGGAAGGTGGAGACTTTGGGTATTTGGGTGGGGTTCCATATGAAGGACATTGCAGGTATGGGTGGGTTGTGGGGTCTTAGGTTTTTTGTTGCAAGTTTAATGCTGAAGTCCATTTCCCCAGTGTTCCATTT